GGAATTAAGGGGGGGGGGGGTTGTGAGGAGCGCAGGTCATGGCCGAAGGAGCTAAGATGGCGGAAGCATCTTAGGGCACAGCTCAACAAAGGGCATTCACTCAGGAGGGAGAAAAGGCTGCACAGCTCCTGAAATGGTTGACCTATCTTTTTAATACAGGCAGCCACACACACACAGGAGACTGAATCTAAAACAAAGAGAAATGTACGCATGCAGAGCACATCATTTTTTTTATAAAAGGAATTCAGCTGTAACAGAAGACATGATTAATTGCCTTCAATCAAAATCTAAATATACCAGAGTCATTCACAGCACACAATCTTAGCTGCTCTTTGAATACAGAACCGAACCACCTTGCAGGCACCTTCTGCCTCCTGTTCTTCAGTATTTATCATTTACTTGTAGTATCCTAAAGGCTAATACTACACAATGTAAGAAAAAGGGAAAAAAACAATAACATGCTGCTGTGAGCGAGTTGGGCTTCAACCTTGAAACACGCCTTAGCTGAAAAACATTCTATTTTCTCTTTTAACAATTAGCTTTGTCTGTGACTGCTCAAAATATTCATACAGAAACAAATGTTTGTCTTCCAGAATATTCAGGGGCAGATATCAAAGAATAGTCACATAGCCAACCATTTCTCCTGTGCATCACAGGGGGCAAGTTTGAACTACAGCACCTGCTGAGCTCTGCCATCTCTTGCCTGGGTGTTTCCATACCATTCACTAGAAAACTAGGCTTTTACAGTCTGTCTGGGGTTTTCTTTTAACTTGTGCTCTACCCACCTGAGCCTCTGAAGTTTAGACACTTTATCCAACAGAGCTGCACCTTGACAAAATATTAAAATCCTCACATACAAAAAGTAGGATGTGTATTTTTTTAAAGTGGCTACATTTGTGTGTTTGCTTGTGGTGTCCATCTTGTGCAAGACTGAGATAAATGCCAAGTCAGGCTGAGAAACTTAAAAGATGGCCACAGTGGCATCATAAACCCAGCTTGTCTCTGAAGGACCCAAGGCCTATTGATTTTTTTCCCCTCAGGTACGATAAGGGCCAACCTTCTCAGATAAACAAGGCCACTGTGGCCTCTGAAAGACCCCTCAGCTGTCTAGGATGGACAATCCCACCCACCCATACATAGGAAACACATTCGCACACATGGTGGAACAGTGGAAGAACAAATCATCAGCAATAAACTGGACAAAGCTGTTTTAGACAAAAACACTCACATCGACCACCCGGGGTTCAGACCAGCAGCTTTAAAAGTCCAAAGAAGGTCGAGTGGAGGAGGCTGGTTTGTGAAACCCGATTCTAATACTCGTCTTTTCCTGTGTCCTCTGAACTGTGTGTTTATGAAGTGTAAATTACTGCTACATTAAGATGTTTGACTCAAAACAGTTGTTGCTGATTTACATTCATACGAAGTAAAAAGCCAGGAAAATACACAACAGTCCATTAGTATTTCAACCGTTGGTGGTGGTCGCTCTTAAAATTTAACTAGAAATGAAATATCACTAGTTACTTAGCTGAGTGACAGAACATTCACAGCTGATGATTTAGATATTTTATAGCCAAAAAAAGGCCAACATGTAGAAAGAAAAGATGTGGGGCTCTAAAAAAAAAAAAAAAAAAAAAAACAACGCAAAACGATGGGCACTTTTGAGCCTGTGTGTTTACATACAGGTAAAGTGAGCAATGTTACAATTACAATTCATCATATACTATGCTGTTCAAACGTTGGGCCAAATAGATATAAAAGCAGCTACGATTCTGAAAACCCTTAAAGCAGAAAGTCAGCTCTTTAACCTCAGTCATTGTTTAAATTTAAACCCCAAGTATTGGAGTATAGAGCCAAAGCAGAAAATGTGTCACTGTCCAAATCCTGCTCTGTGTTTCTATTCTAAGCTGTGAACAAGAGGCACAATGTGTAAGCTACCACCCACTCTAACAAGTCAGAGTAATTTTGAAAATATCTCCATAAATCCTTTTGTCTAGGGGTTGAATTATATACTTTGCTACTATCTGGTATATGTACTAGACAGAACAGCAAAAACAGGAACTTTACAACCGAGCCAAAATGGTTAGTTGATTAGTCAGCTGACAGAAAAGCCAGAAACTTTTGATAATCCAGTTAATATTAGACATTTTAAAGTAAAAATGCCAAAACGTTCTAGTGTCAGCTTCTCAGTTGTGAGGTTGTTTCTGCTTTTGTTACGTAACAATAACATACTGTATTGCATATGTAGGATAGGTTTTGGACTGCTGGGTGAGAAAAACAAGCACACTGAAGATGTCACTTAGGGCTTTAAGCATTTTTCACTATTTTCTGATGTTTTATACACAAAACAAGTAAAACAAAACCCCTGGAAAAAAATACGTAGAATAAATGGTAATGCTAGTTTTAACCCTACATTACACTGAGGTCTTACTAATGCCGTTACACTCAGAGCCAGCGGACCGACCGCTGTCAATATCAGAGAATCTGTACCTGCATGTCCAGTATTAATGTGGTTCTTCATGTCGTTCTCCTCCATGCAGACGTAATCACAGACGCGGCAGCAGAGCGAGAACATCCACTGCTCCTTGTCCACATGGAGTGACATGTGGCTGACAAACTGGGCGTTCAGCTCCGTCTGGAAACCACACACATGGCAGCTGGACATAGAAAAGAGAGGAAAAGAAAGAGACATGGTGAGAATGAGAAGTAGGACAGTCAGCTTTAGTGTTAGATTGTGCCTGCATAAATTGGTAAGTGATACAGGGCGGACACATTTCTTTTAATCTGATAAATGTAGTTCTACAGTGCAGAAATGGAGAAAGTTAACACTTTTCAGATCATTAGTTACAGTATTAAAGCGATAACATGACATTTTGGGAAATGTACTTATTCACTTTCTTACCCAGAGTTAGATGAGAAAATCCAAACTTCATGCCTGGGGGCGGTTAGTTTATTTGACTTGGCATTAAAACTGGAACCTGGTAGTTCAAAGAGTCCTGGCATCACCACGAGCTTGCCATGTAATCGACAGAGACTACAGAAAGACACTAAAACCCACCAAGAAATAGTCAGCACCTAACTTCCCCCTAAAGCCCAAACATGCATTTTTTAAATAGGTTTCTTTTTGGATAGATTTAACAAGCAAGATATAACAGACTTAGTGAAATTTAGAGTTTTTTTTTTTTTTTTTTT